CCCCTTTACCTTACCCTGTCTTGTTATTAAATTGCACATGAACTAATCATGATCTTTTAGAAAACATCCATTGTAACTAGCTCAGTAATTCAAACACATGACTAATGAACTGTGGTTACTCTTTGCTTTGTCTATTTATAATGAATTATTTCTGTGGTTTTCAGCCTCAGTCACATGGTGTTATTTCTCTTTTCTGAGTCTTATCTCTGTCTGGATAACCAGACATTCTTCAAACAGGCAAGGAATAGAAAATAATGAAAACTTATTTTAAGTATAACATTTTGTTGTTAGTTCAGTGATCTTTTTTCCTGCTCAGATTTCTTTATGGTTCTTCAAATGTATGTATCTAGATACAGAAGTAAAGATGAACATAAAAATCACAGCAAATGGCACTTCAAAAGAATTAAGCTCTTCAATGTAAAAATATTCACACAATTGTAACAATTCATGTAGCAGTAATAATGATGTAACATGTAAGTTGTATGCTGGAGATGAACCCTCTTGAGTGAGGGCTTTCTTGATTTTATTAATTCCTATCCTAATTTTACCTTCTAAATGATTGACCTTTTTTTTTATCAAAGTATAGTATGCAATTCATAATGGACTAAGAAGTGCTGAGTACTCACAATTTCCTTTAATGGATTAATGAACTTCATGGTAAATACATTGACTACTGGGGATCCTAACTTGCCATAATGGCAGTCCCGCTTACTGTTATTGTGGCCAGTCTGCTCCTTCTTGGAGGCAGTATTTTGGGGTTTTTTTGCCACCACACACTGAGCTTTCCTCTTTTGGTAATATTACTTCAGTGCTGAATTATCTTCAGTTAATTCTGCAAGCTCATTACTCTTTTATGACTCTGCACATGTTAGCACTGCTGCATTATCTCATACGAGGCACTAGGATTTCTGGGAACACTTGCTTGGGAGCAGCATTAAGCTGTGCTGCCCAATGAATTAATTTGCAATGTACTGAATAAGAATATGTCTCCTTTCTGGGCATCCATGTGGAAATTTTTTAATCTAAAAACTCATTAAATAAAAGCAGCAAATAATGAACTTATACTAAGAGAGTGACTTAGCTCTACTGTCAGCATTACTAATACTCTCGTTTTGGCAATATGTGACAGGTAAGAGGTTTAATATGTAGTGGAAGGCATTTTGATGGTGGTTGGACACATTGAAAATTCACCTGTTCATGGATATGGATCAGCATAGTCATACAACATGGATTTTAGAAGCCAATAAGGGATCCTCCTTTGCTGACTGGAAGGTGTGGAGAGGGACTATGAGCACAGTGTGGTAGGAATATAAAACCATGCTTGACTGGGATAACCATCACTATTGGCTTGCCTAGTAGCATGTAGGAAGTTCTTCCAAGTGGCATTTCAGTTCAAATGTTCTGGAAGCATAGGAGAGGAGTGTGTAATGTGAAATGTAAATTATACAAACTAAATTGATTTATGTGGAAAAAGGAATAGGTAGAAGGGAAAAGGAAGTTCACAGAAGCAGCAAAGGGTAATTAGGAGGACATGCGTGCCCTCAAAGCAGTGAGCTTATTTCCAGTCCAGGTTAAACCAAAAATCTC